TACCTAACTAATAATAATATATATAATATATATATATATATATATATATATATATATATATATATATATATATAATAAAATTTCTGATTGACTTAATATAATATTATACAAGAATAAGAGAAGAATTGAAAATAATACTACAAACTATTAGTTTAATTCTCGAACAATTGATAGTCTTAAAAATATTTTTTTACTTGTTCAATTGTACTTAAATGTTACTCCCTCTGTCTGTCCCATTTTATGTTCACATTCCAAATTTTAAGAGTCAAACAAACCTATCTTTGACCGTAAATTTTTCATAGATCTTTTAAACATTTTGAATTATCAATTATTGTGATTCATAGTACTTTTTACGTTGTTTACAAGTATATAAATTTCATTTCAAAACAAAATTGAAGATTCCATGCACAAATTTGCAGTGTGTTTGACTCTCAAAATATTAAAGTGTCATATAAATTGAGTAAGAGACTCAACTCTTAAAAGAGATGAGATCACTTGCTATGCTATGTTACAGATATATCTAAGTTTATTTAGTCAATTATAAAATGTGTTTTAAGGTTATATAGTTTTAGAATTAAATTAATAATTCGAATGCAATAAGGAAATTAATAATAATACTTACCTGACTAAAACCTAAAACACCATCAAATGGTCCATACTTCTCCATATTAGCTTCAACATATTGAATACATTCTTCAAAATTGTAAATTTCCTTGAAGTCCTACAATGTAATGTTATGACACTTGAATCAAAGTGTGTCATCTAAAATATATATTTAATTTGATTTATGATACTTATTATACATGATTTAATATTTAAATTATATTAATTTAAATACATATATTGTTTCACCTCAATCAAATTTATGATGTAAAATAGTTAAGTGCGTATTTGTTCATATTTAGTATATTATTTGACACAGTTACATAGCCTAAGACAAAATTTATATTATATATAAATTAATTTTGCTTATAAGGAACATATTTCAAAACAATGAACTTACTCAATTGATCATAAAAGAAGAAGAAAAACCAGAACTTATGTTCTTGTTGCTCATCAGACACAAGTTTTAGCTTTCATTTATAAGGGAAATATTTCAAGATAAAACATGCTTAATTGACCACGATTTTCGTCTAAAAGTACAAATTTTGTGATAATCAGAAAATACTTAGTTCTCTCTAGCTCTTATTTTCTTCGTAAGCAGCAGAAGTTAGGTACTTCATTAAGATTAGTAAGGTAAAATCTAGCCCCCATTGATTGTCCTTTAATAAAAGACGGCTAGACATTGTATACGGATAAATTTGCTTTTAAACAAAAAAAAGTTCTATCCAAAAGAAAATGGAAAATAGCAATAAAGGAGAAGAACCTCAGTAGATTGGAACCATTCATAGTAGGGTGGATAAAAGATGTCATGAACATCCACTTTATCTTGAAGTAAAAAAGGTGCATCCAAGAACACCAAATCTAGTTTATCAAGTAAATATTGTGGCCAACCAAGTTCCAATTCTTTCTTAAATATATTAGCACTAGTTGCATGGCCATGGAGGCACAAAACTCTTGGCTTCTTCTCATATTGGTATTTTTCCATATTTAAAATTAAAGAAGAAAACAAGACAAAGAGTAATTAGCTCTCTATTTTGTCTTTATGCAAGTTATCCTTGAGGGAAGTTGTTGCACATACAAATCTTGTAAGATGGATATGTACAACTATATATATACTTTGTGAAAATTTTAGCGGTCTTTTATTAAATATAAAAGTATCAATACGGACTTATACAGACAAGTGAAGCTAGGTCTTACCTTCCTAATTCTAATGAAAGTATCAATACGGACTTATACAAACAAGTGGAGCTAGGTCTTACCTTACTAATTCTAATGAAAGTATCAATACGGACTTATACAAACAAGTGGAGCTAGGTCTTACCTTACTAATTCTAATGAAAGTATCAATACGGACTTATACAAACAAGTGGAGCTAGGTCTTACCTTACTAATTCTAATGAAGTACCTGACTTCTACTTCCAACCAAGAATGAAGAAAGTAAAAGTTAGAGAGAACTATGTATTTTATGATCATCACAAAATTTGTAATACAATTCATAATAATATTACAAATGATATTGAGAAAGATATGTCAACATTTATCAATTTTTCTTGTATTTTTAATAAAAAAGTTTTTAATTTTGTGTCATAAATTTTATAAATTATATGAATTTTATATAATAATAATAATAATAATAATAATAATAATAATATAAACAAGGTAAATAAATAACTTTATGGGATAAGTAAACAACTTAAACTTTATCCAAAAATATCTCAAAGAATTAAATTTTGGATATGTATGATGAAAAAATAAAATAAAATATTAGAAAAGAAGAGAAAAAATGAACGAAGATGTTATAAATTACCCAACATAAAACTTTTGGTTGCATTTACAGATTTACTTTTAGTATTTTTTAACTTCATTTAAAAGAAAAAAGATTTGTATGGTCTTTTTTAAATATTTGTGGCAATCTTTGAACCACATAATTGTGGTCATTTAGTAGCTCTACGAATTAAATGTGAAGGGGACTTTGAATTTAATAATAATATAAACCAGTTTATGGAAGTGATAGAACTGGATAGAACTCCCTAAAGTTTAAAATGCATAGTTAAATGAATTTGGTTAAGAAATTATATGAAATTAAAAGACGAATAAAGTAGGGAGAAGAGAAAGATTTCTTATTCATCTTGAAGTATATTCAGGATTTATTGATCTTTCACCAATCTTATTTACAATAAAGGAAAACCCTTTATTTATAGGGAAAACCTTACTGGTCTCCAAATAAGATTCCTAATCATATCCTACAAGGACTCCACGTAATTAGATATTCACTATAATACAAATTGTTTATAACACCCTCCTTTGAATGTCGGTAGATTATGTGCCTCGTTAAAACCTTATTAGATAAAACTCAGTGGGGAAAAAAATCTAGTGAAGGAAAAAGAGTATACATATCTAATAATATGCATTATGGATGCCTCATTAAAATCATTACAAGGAAAACCCAGTGGGACAAAACCTTGTGAGGAAAAAAGAGTACATCGCTTATTAACTCCCCCTAATGACAACATCATTTCAGAGACTAAAATCTTCGTTTTCCAAGTTTGTGCACCATCTTCTTGAAAGTTGTAGTTGGTAGAGACTTGGTGAATAAATTAACAATAATATTACTTGAACAGACCTCTTGCATGTTGATATCACCATTCTTGGGAGCCCATGAGTGTAGAAAAACATTGACGAAATATGCTTTCTTCTATCTCCTTTTATGAATTTTCGTGAGAGTCAAAGATTTCTCCAAGTTCCTTACTTTAACTTCTTTAAGCAAATAATCTGTTGCCATTTGCAAACTCTTCAAGAGTTTCAATTATAGTTATCAACTTGCATAACAATACTTGTATAAACTCTACACATTTTGAATCTATTTAATTCTTATAAGGATGATAAACAAATTTTTCAGAACCTTGTATATGCTAGATTTCGAACCCATTGAATATTTTCATATTAGTTTTGTCAAGTGACAACATTCAATATTAGATGTATGACAACTTTTAGGGCCTCGATTGCAAGTCAAATAAGTTTTATGCTTACCAAGATGCACCATTCCACTTTTCACTTGATAATTATTTCTACACCAGCATGCTTTGATAGTCGTAGAATTTAACAATATTGCATGCTATTGTATCAAAGATGTCGTCAACGATATATCATTTTGCTTTGTTCACAATATGACATAACTTATTGAGATCTCATCACTTCATTATTTTTAGGTAGCTACCCCTCTCATGAGGTTTCATAAAGTGTTATGTCATAGGCTCCCCAAGAGCACACTTATCTTCTTATTATGATCATTTTGATTTTTTGATCCTCTTCCTTTTTCAAAGATTATTTTATTTAGAATTGATTAGTCTATCATGCTTCATGCATGTCGTAGACTCTATCTTTAAGGGACATTCAATAGAAGTATTTATAATTTTTGTGTTGCTTCTAATCTCTCTCTTATGTTAGACAAACTAACATACATCTCAATCTATGGAGAATCTATCCTTGTGCATCAATGTATATTCATTGATTATACACCACATATCAAAATAATTAGATGAAAAATATTTGATCTCCGACCATAAATCAATTGAAAGAAAATTTAATCATAATTTATCGGCCTGATGCGTACAATTACTTTTGTATGCAATATCGTATTTCATATCAACATATGAAGCTTTATTTTCATAAATAATGATTTTACTATTTGAGACATTTAGTGTCACATCATCTTGAGTATTTTTCAATATTATCAAGATAAATTGTCTTGATTACATATTTTGAAATTGTGCTCTTAACTCAATTATTTTTGCACAAACAATTTTGTGAATGTCAAACTACATGTTGACAACAAATGCACATGTGATTATCTTATAAATGCATCTTTTTATCATATCACATGATAGGTGAACGAGCCATATTCACCTTTTATACTTTTCAGAATTTAGGAATTTAGTCCCAACTGTAATTGATCCAATCAACTTTATCACGAGAACAAGCAACGTAAAAAATTATTGAAGAATCTTCTACTTTTTCAATGTATGTCCATTACTCAGTATGCACATCTTTGGGATGATCAAATTATTCATGCCAACTAATAAAATTATTAGTACTCGTAGACTTCAAGTTTATTACGTCATGTGCCTTTTGCTTAAGTAATTTCTGATTTACTATTATATGAGTAAATTTCAATTTTATTAATCTAAGAGTAATTTTCAGAGTTATTTCTTCTCAATTACTTCACCCTTTAGGTGAGATCCCATCATTGAATGAACTAATCTGAAGAAAATTGTGCATGTAACATATTATTTGTGCCAACATTTTTGCAAACATCAAGTTGCGAGATAATAATAGGCACACAGGAGACCATATAGAAGAAACATTTATTAGGACCATTAAATGTCTAAACAATCCACTAGGTGGATGACTAGGTCCATAAATATTTGTATACATTCTAGAACGCAGAGAATTTAATCTCAACTTTCGTTTATGATGGTCACACAATTAGTTTGTCTTGCTAACAATCATTACAAGAAAATTCACCATTTAAAAAATGATGTCCATTTTAATTTTCCATAATTCGTCTAAACATTATAGACTAATGATGTCTTAGACAATCATGTCAAATTAAGAAAGTATTGAAATTAGAAAACTTTTTATTTATCATAGAATGTGCCTCAATTGAACTAATTCTTATCCAATACAAGCCTAAAGATAAAGTATGAAACGTTTCTATAATACATGTCTTCTTAGAGACATTCTTAATGATACCACATCGTTAACCAAAGATAGCAATCTTTCTCATGCCTAGCATGGTGGCTTACACCTCATTCCCTTTAGAGAATTTTAGCATTATCAAAAGTTCGCATTCTTCATGAATGAAACGCAAATATGTGAGCATATCAAATAATGATAACTTTAGTACCTCACTCCATATCTATATGCATTATTCAATCACTTGTCTTCTTTCAAACATATTATGCACTACAACCACATTCACTTTACGTAGTGGAGCAAATTCAGTAAATTTAATGACTTCTCATCAAAAACATATTATTTTTTCTTGGCCTAAGTCATCGATAGCCCCTTAAAGTTGTCCGCATAATTCATTTAGACACCTCAACTGAGACTCTTACCAATTAGACACTTTAATATTAATAAATATTTACCTATCAAACATAAAATAACAATTACCTTTACAGATATTGTGCG